CCCTTCCGCCCAGGAGCACGTCGGAAATCCTGGCTACCTCTGGAAAACGCCTCTTCGTCTCTTATCTGGGCTGGCTTCCCTTGTGCCCGCTCTCTAGCTGCCCTTCCGCCCAGGAGCACGCGGGAAGTCCTGGGTAGCTCTCTGGAAAACGCCTCTTCGTCTCTTATGTGGGCTGGCCTCCCTTGTGCCCGCTCTCAAGCCACCCTTCCACCCAGGAGCATAGGTACTTCATATAATATCAAACATGTGCAGAATAAGAAAACCAGACACTGTGATACATAACATTGTGATACATAAACATTGACAATTATTGTGCAAATATGGGCAACTATATTTAATAATAATCTCTTATTTTTACTATAATATTACATACATGTTTTTCATTTTTACACTGAACAATTTCTCCAGTTTTTAAAAACTAACTTATACTTAGCAAACTATATTTTGGAAAATGTCATTCTTTTTTCTAGATGCTGCTGAATTTGAATCGGCATCCTATAGAACTTCTTCTCTTGGATATTCCAATAAGCCAAGTCAAGAATTACTTGTGCAAGCATCAGAAGAATATGTACAGGTTTTAAGGAAAAAATACAATATATGAAAAAATAAAATTTAACTTCTGAGCTGTTTACATGGCATTTTAATGACTTGCTTTATTATAGCATGCTTAAAATCTTTATTAAAAGCACAAATCTTCTTGTGCCATGTGTGTAATGAAAATTTACATACGTAGTATTTTAAACTATAATCTTTATAATCTATAAGTAACTTCAACTTATTTTGCAAATGGAAATAAGCATTATACTCAAAACAAAAAAGACAAAACCTCTTTCAACTCATGTATCAGTTGATCAAGTGTATCATCTGTTTATCTCATTTATAGCTCAAATGTGTATCAAAGTAGAATTATGCTCCTTAGAACTTTTAGTGGCTGATATTTCGGAAGCAGATCAAGACTTTATCCAGAGGCATCTCTACATCAACTAAAATGTTCAACTTTTCAGTTAAAAGCTAACGACAACATGCTCACTTCAGCGGCACATATACTAAAATTGGAATGATACAGAGAAGATTAGCATGGCCCTTGCACAAGGATGACATGCAAATTCGTGAAGCATTCTATATTTTTAAAAAATTCTAACTTCACAGTTTTTATTACCCAAGAAACTTATATTTGCTCTTTAGATAGCACTCGTGACCTAATTTCCATTAATACTTTAGTGGAGTTAATTAGTCATTAGATTATCTCAAAAATAATGCAGGTTTTTAAACTTCAACTTTGAAATTCTGTAACTCTGCTCAAACTTAATAGAAATAAGAGCATTTACAATCAAGACATTTTTGCCAATAAGATACAAATTCATTTCTTCCAGTATTACAAAGTTCTAGAATTCGGAATTGATTCATTCTCTTCAACAACAACAGTTACTAGAATACTAACCACATTATTAATTATATTTGTAATTTTAAACATTGATAACTGGATCCTTTATTAGAGATCAATAAGGATTGCCTATACTTTCACCTTTTTCATTTATTTTACTTACCATTTTAATACAGGTCTTGAAAATTATAACAAGTTGCAGATTTTCATAAAAAGAATCTTATCCACTGAACTATTTGAATATAAAGTGCTGTTTCTCTGTATCTCTAGATCTAAATGTTACTTACTGTTTACTTGTTATTGCATGCTGTCAAGTCGCCTGAGACTCATAGCAACCCTATGCACAATAGCTCTGAAGCCTGCCAGTCCTGAGCCAATTTCACCAGCTCTAAAACACCTACCCCCATTACCATAGTAACTGTGTCAATCCATCTCAACCAGGATCTTCCTCTCCTGCACTGTCCCACCCACCCATCCAATGTTACCATTCTCCAAGGACTGTTCCCTCCTGGCAGCATGCTCAAAGTATATGAGATGGAGCTTCAAAACCCTGGCCTCAAATAAGCAACTTGATTTCACCTTCTTCGAGACAGACCTGTTTATTCTCTTGATAGTCTGAAAGACCCCAAACTAGGGCTTTACCTAGACGGGGTGCGACCCCGAGCAACTCACACCAGATCCACTTGCTGTAATCATAAGAGGCATTTATTGACGAAGCTTCGGGACGACTTATATCTCAACACAGGAGACAGGGAAGTCGACCCCGAGCCCTAAAAAGCAAGGGAATTTATACTAGGTCTAGGGGTTCTTTGGCGTAGAGATAGCTCATTGGCTCTTTGGAAAAGGAGAAGTTCAATTTTAGGTCAGTTGCCTGCTGCTGACGTTAGTTAAAATATGGTTTTTGCCAGTAATTGTTTTTTCAGTTTGTGGTCAGCTAGTTCCTGGAACACAAACATTCACACAAGATCAAAGGTATAGGTTTTTACAATACAGATCAAAGGTATGGGTTCTTACAATACTTGGGTTTGGGGACATTATTTTTTAAAAAATTTTCCTTTCAAGTCCATGGTATGTTCAATACTCTTCTCCACTACAACTTGAAGGCATAGATTCTTCTTCTATAATCCTTAGTCATCGTCCAGCTCTCTGATACATTGCAAGTAACTTCAAAGACCATGGCCTGGATCAGATGCACCTTAGTCTCTAGAATGACATTGTGCTCTTCTGCACACTGGAGAAATCCCTGCGAGCAGATTTACCTAATGTAACATGTCTTTTGATTTCCTGATTGTGTGGAACCATGCAAGCTGGAGTCTCAACTTCTTCTCCATCTATCACAGTGCTACCAGTTGATTACTTCTGTATATATTTTCTACAAACAAGAATAGTTTATGTAACTACAGTACAACCAGGAAATTACCATTAATGAATCCTCTTTATTAATTCTTGTATTCTCTCCAAGTTTTGCCATGTTTTTAAAGTGCCATTTATAGCAAAAATATCCATTTCAGAATCATGGATTATACTTAGTGAGGTCTCTGAAGTTCAATCTGGAGTACTTCTTCAGTCTTTCCTTGATGTTTCAGGTTTACCTTGACTTTTCTAAGGCTTTTCTTAGCTTGAGCCTTAAATTAAGGCAAGTAATAAAGAATGTCCCTTAATGTTTCGTGAAGTTTCCTTACGATTTGACTCAGCTGATATATATATATATATTTTTTTTTTTTTTTTGCAAGAAGATCACAGAAATGACTCTATAATCTCATTGTACCTGTCTTAGTCTGGGTACTCTAGGGTAGCAAGGTGAAGGGGGTGAAGAAAGAAAAGAGCAAGAGCAAACAAGAATGAGCGATTTATTTCAAGTACTTGGAGCACGTGCTTGCAGAGGATGGAAAGTTTCAGGTCTGTGGGTCAGACCTCAAGAGAGAATTGTGTGAGGAGTCTACTGAGTCCAATGGATTCAAAATCCTCAGCCAGTAGGACCAAGAAGCATCATAGACTGCAGGTTTTTGAGCTTAATTTATCTGAAGTTCTCCAGAAAGGTTAAACAAAGTTTACAGACTGCAGGCTTTAGGGACTGATAGGTCAATGATCAGCCACAAAGGTTGAAGTCAGCCTGGGGTCAACTCCAGGAGTCATGTGCCAGAAACAAAATTAAGCCCATAGCTATCTAGCTTTATCAGAGAGTCCATGCATATTTTGAATGCAGACTATTCCCCAGAGAAAAATTCTTCATCAGATCAGGCTAATCATATTGCAGCCATCTATAAAGCAGTCGAAAACTAACATCTTGTACCACCTTTAGTTGTTATGTATAATGATGCCTTTGAGCTGTGGTGCTGGAGAAGAGGAATGTACCATGGACCGCCAAGAAAACAAACAGATTCATCATAGAGAGGGTTAAATCAGGCTGCTCCTTGGAGGCAAGGATTCTGGGGCTTTGTCTGACATACTTTGGACATGTTGTAAGGAGAGACAGGTCTTTAGAGAGGGACATCATGCTGCGTAGA